GGGCTATCATATTGCCTCTTAACCTTTCTTTTTCCAGGCTAAACATACCCAGCTCCCTAAGTCACTCCTCACAGGCCATGGTTTCCAGACCCTTCACCATTTTAGTCACTCTCCTTTGGATACCCTCCAGCTTGTCAACATCCTTTTTGAATTGTGGTGTCCAGAATTGGACACAGTATTGCAGGTGAGGCCTCACCAAAGCAGAATAGAGTGGCACTATTACTTCCCTTGATCTAGATACTAAACGTCTATTGATGCAGCCTAAAATTGCATGCCACCATCACATTGTTGGCTCATGTTCAACTTGTGGTCTACTAGGACTCCTAGATCCCTTTCACATGTAATCTTGTTAAGCCAGATGTCCCGCATCTTATATCTATGCATTTCATTTTTTTATTTTATTTTATTTTATTTTTTTTGCCTAAGTGCAATACTTTACATTTCTCCATGTTGAAATTCATTTTGTTAGCTTTGGCCCAGCTTTGTAATCTATTAAGGTCATTTTGAATTTTCATCCTGCCCTCTGGGATATTAGCTATTCCTCCTAATTTGGTGTCATCTGCAAATTTGATAAGCATGCCCCCTATTCTTTCATCCAAGTCATTGCTAAAGATGTTGAATAGCAATTAATGAAATCGTACGAATCTTTTAAACCTGTGATGTTGTACACTTGCTTTCTCTTTCTCTATGGAAGTTCTATTGAGTAACTGCAAAAAGGCTGATTTCACAGAAAGGAGGAAGAACTGAAAAGAGTGTAGTTCCAAAACTCATGTGGTATTCAGATCACTACTACTGGTGCAGCATCACTTATTCCAAAATAAACAGACTCTCCTTTGAGCCCTACAAGGCTTCTTTCCAACCAGCTACAACAATCAGGCCTGTCCCCTTTGCTGGCCACTTTGCAACTCTCAAAGAGCCTTGCTAGCTTCCATCAAATTACTATCAGTGCTCACTGACAAAACCTTGGGAAGCCTTTAATATAGCCATTGAGGGCAAGTATCTTCCAGATGTTCTAGAAATGTTGACCTGACTAGTCAACACTCACTTAGATTATTTTTCCACAGGAAGCTGTGTGAAGCTTTGAACTGGGTGTCCATTTAGCCTTATTACTCACTGGCCATACTTGCATGCATGGGATCTATTGCTTACAATGCTTTGGGAGTCTTAAGTAACAACGTAGCATGATAGATGGAATGACCACAAGATCAAGGCCATAACTGGGTCTTAGAACTAGAAATTTGTTCTAGCACTCATCTAGTAACTAAGCAGCAGGAATAGAGCCCAGCCTAGACTCTTGATTGTTCGAAGTAAATTTGGGCTGCATCTGCACTGCAGAAATAATCCGGTTTGACACCACTTTAACTGTCATAGCTCAATGATATGGAATTCTGGGAACTATAGTTTGTAGCTCTGCTCTGGTGCCACAACAGATTACAGTTCCCAGAATTCTATAGCACTGAGCCATGGCAGTTAAAGTGGCGTCAACTGGGATTATTTCTGCAGCACAGATTCAGCCTTAGTTCTCCATGATGGGTGAAATAATCAGAATTATATTTCAGGGCTGAAACTGAAAGACTGAGAGTTGTGTGAGATCAGAAAATCAGTAGGTGGAAGCCTTGATATAACAGCTATGAAAAAGATAGTCCAAGCACCATATCTTATCATACAGTTTCCATGGGGACTAAGTCAAAAGTGTTCTCCTCATGGTGGATAAAATTTGCAAGCACTCATGATTTATTCCATAATGTGAATGTCTATGCCCTCTGAGCCACATCCCACTCAAGAGGGAAAGTGTAGAAGCTCCTGTGGTGGGGGCAAGTTGCATAATGAGTACTTGCCAACATTACTGTTGGAAATGGGGAATTAGTAACTATGGAAGGTCACTTCAGAAGTATCTTCTATTTGGTGAACATGAACTATGTTCCAGATAAGTAATCATGACTTTTGATAGGAATTGCAGCTAGGCGCTAGACGTGTGCCTTTGTCAAAAAAAGGTGCAGTTCCCTCAGTTTAGGAAACCTGGCAGGCATGAAGCACCACAAGAGGGTTGGGCTACATCCACTCTCCTTGTGACAAAAAAAGGAAGACTATGATGATTCTGCATGATTACAGAAGCCTCAGGGGGTCTGATTGTTCTGTTCTTCATGCACTGCACAAAGCTCTACTTTTGCCAGGTAGCTCACACAAAATGAGAAGCAATCCAGTATTGAGCCTTCTGGTACTGCAAAGACTTCCATGACATCTTCACATTTAATGAAGAGCACCTGTAAGCCTGAAGATTTGATTGGTCCAGCAGCATTCCCGAGTTAAATTGTTGAAGGATCATTGCTGGTCATCGGAAATCTGCCTTCAACCAGGGGGAAGGCTAAGACTGCTGCCATACTGCAGAAACAAAGCAGTTTGACACCACTTTAACTTCCATGACTCCATGCTATGGAATCCTGAGATGTGTAGTTTGTTTTGGAAACAGAGCTCTCTGACAGAGAAGGCTAAATATCTCACAAAAGTACAAACTCCAGAATTCCATAGCATTGAGCCATGGCTGTTAAAGTGGTGGCATATTGCTTTATTTCTGCAGTGTGGATATGCCCAAGAAAGCAGAGAAGGTCTGAAATTTGTTGTGCACCACCGCGGCATTCCTTGAGCTCTGGTATGATGAGCAGAGGGATAGAATTCCAGAAAAATTGCCAAACAGAACTGGAGAACACCAGGGCTTGGGAAAGTTATTTTCCCCAGAATCCTCCAACCAGTATGCTGAAGAATTCTGGGAGCTGCAGTGCTGGGAAACACTGGCACAGGAGGAGTGGGCTTTGCCATGCAGAATAATAATGAGCGGAGATCAGTGGATGGGGTGAAAATGGGGCCAGAAGTGTTTGTATGTGTACTCTGTCATGGAATTGAAACATAATGTATTGCTACTTGGAGGGAGAGCCAGTACCGAAAAAGGAAAGAAGAAAGCTTTTGGTCAAGAATGAGGGGCTGCAAGCAGTGCTTTGTGAAGGCTGCTGAATGAGAACTAACCCACTTTCTGTGCACACTGAACTTCCTCACAAATTTTTCAAAGCAAAAATCCCTATGTACCAGCCCCGTATGGGGTTGAAGTTCCTTAATGTGTTTTATTACAAATGCTCCATAATAAGGTAATTACGGTGGAAATAATAAATGTGTCAGTCCTTCAAGAAATATTTTTACCTAGCACATGGGGGAAAGGAGCCCAGGCCATTGTTTTTCGAGTGCGCGAGCGTTACTGTACATATTAATTAACTGAGTAAAAAGCTTCACCACCCCATGGCATCTACATTATTTATGAATGTCTCAGGGCGGCAGTAACTTATGCACTCTCCTTCTCAATTCATCGTTGTTTTTTATTTAACTTTGTTTTCTTCTTTAGACGAATTTCTGTGCCATGCATGCATTTTGGCATATTGGAGAAGCAATTCAACCCAATCTTGCATTTCTACATTATTCTGGACATCAAAGGGGAAAAAGAAGTCCAGGCAGATACTTTTAAAGATGGGGTATGAAGGAGAATCTGTGGTGCTCTTCCAGTCTGACTTCCACCCCCCACCCTTGGCGTCTGTTAGAACTATTGCTTTAATGAAAAACACCACCACTGCTGTATCGAATAGAAAATATATCAGGTATGCATGAAATGACATTAAGGATTTATTACTTTTCAGCCTGCATGTAGATGACTGTATGACTACTTATTTGTTTGTTGGAAGTTTTTTTAATATACTTTTTATGGATTTTTCCCTCTTCTTTGTGTGCCACAAATACAAACATGCAGGACTTCCTAAGGAATGCCAGAACAATACCTCAGCCTAGCCTTTCCCCTTCTTCTTTGTAAGTAGAGGAACTGGAAAGACAGGGCTGGTGAACCTGATGACCTGAGCATCACAATTTTAAGGCAGGTTACCTCATCATATGATTATGCTATCTTGTCTTTGCTTCCTTGATGTTGTTATTGTTGTTGTTGTGTGCCTTCAAATTTCTGATTCATGAAGACCCTAAAGTGAACCTATCATGGAGTTTTCTTGGCAAGATTTGTTCAAAAGAGGTTTGCCAGTGCCTTCTCCTCAGGATGAGAACATGTAACTTGTCCAAGGTCACCCACTGGGTTTCATGGCCGAGCTGGGAATCAAACCCTGGTCTCCAGAGTTGTAGTCCAACACTCAAACCACTGGGTCATGCTGGCTCTCCTTTGCTTGCTAGAGGATTTGAAAGTTATATAATACATAATTTAATGTTGTAAGCTGCCCCGATTGCTCTGCAGAGGGGTAGGATATAAATTATTATTATTATTATTATTATTATTATTATTATTATTATTATTATTATTATTATTGAGCTAGTGATTTTTTATGGAAGAGAGGATGGATTTGGGGAACAAATATGACTACCAGGAAAGCTGACATGGTATAGGGGCTTCAGTGTTGGACTAAGATCTGTGAGACCAGAGTTCAAATCCTCAATTAGCCATGGAAATCCATTGGGTGACCTCGGAAAAGTCACAGCCTTAGAGAAAACCACCATTGAATTTCGTGCCAGGAAAACTCTAAGATAGGGTTGCCTTGAGCTGGAGTTGGCTTGAAGGTACGTAACAGCAACACCAGCGGCTAGCAGGAGTATGTACAGTGTAGGAATAGATGGATCAATCAATCTATTCCCAGTACATGTCAGATTTTTTATCCATAAATCTACTCTGTCCTGTCTCTATATTAATGTGTTGATTTTTTTTAATTGCCACAAAACTTCACATATAGACATAGATATTTTAAAACCTTCTCACAATGTATACATTTCTAAATATATAGGATCCTGAAATACACATTTCAAAATGCATTTTTTCCTTCATATCAAGAACAAAATTCAGAAACATGTGAAACTGGATGGGTAATTTTCTTATTATTCACACCCAAGTCCAAGAGGTACAGATCAGGTCAATTCACACCAGACTAAGCAAAAGTTGAATTCCATAAATATCTGAAGTGGTAAGGTGAATTAAACAACAGATATGACAGCATCCCCCCTCCCATTTTGTTTGTTTACTGTTCTGTCTTTGCCCTATTTTCCATTCTTCTTGAACTCCAGTTTTACAAAGAGAATTTCTAAAATTTTCTGCATCAAGTTCCTTTTTGCATTGTTTTTAGTTGTTTCTGCATCCCCTCTTATTTTATTTGCACATGCAATCTACATTGTATGTGCATCCAGGACCATTTAGTGGCTGGTGGAAGTGCTGTGTTTCTGCAGTTAGGAGCAGAAAGATGAGACAGTAAAATCCTCCTAGACCTTCTGGATCTCCTCCAGAGGTCTGGGAAGATTAATTTTCTGAGTGCATCCTGCCCCAGCCTCTAAATAACCATGTGAGGGGAATGTCAGCAATTGTCAGGTAGGTTGCATGTGATTGGGGGGGGGGAGTGCCATTGCTTGAAAGAGGATACCTCCTTGTACACTAAGTGTAAAATGACATCTGGTGGGTTTTTTTAATGTGCCACCAAGCTGTCTTTTACTTATGGCAACTTTATGAATACAAGACCTCCTAGACATACTATTATGTCTTGGAGGTCTTGTGCTCAGGTCTTGCAAACTCAGGGCAATGGCCTCCTTCAGTGAGACAATCCATCTGCAATGAAGTTTACCTATTTTCTTCCTGTCTTCTACTTTTTCCAGCCTTATTGGGGGTTTTTCTTCAAATAAGCCATGTTTACTGATAATATGCCTTGGGTAGTATAGGCTTAGTTTAATCATTTTGGCTTCTCATGGCTGTTCAGGTTCGTTTTGCTCTAAGACCCATTTATTTGTC